AAATAGATAACTATGAAATAGTTTTGTTTATCACAATCATTACATTTATTTTAAATAAAATACACACACAAACGCACGCACACACACACACACGCGCACACACACACACACACACACACACTCACACACACACACACACAGAAATATAAAGAAGGTCCAATAGAATAATTTTAAATAATAAATTTAATTAATAACAACTTTTGTAATTATTCGTCATTAGTATAATAACAAAATTATTAAACAATTAATGAAATCATATATACGCTATTTATCTGCAATATATATATATATATATATATATATATATATACATTTCCCTGAACATAATATTTCAAAATAATTACGATTATCAATATAAAACAATATTTCATAAAAATTTCTTTATTACCTCAAGCTCGATAAAAAATTACAGGAATATTATGAAATTGGGGCATTCTTGTACAAATTTTATTCACAATTCTGCGAAATCAATTATTAATCAATTTATAAATATTAGACTACTTTGAAAAAAGCAAATTATTGACACTCTTTTCGCTGACAACACTTTAATTTAATACTAGATTTACCAAAATCTTATCATTAATAAGATAATAATAAAGTAATAAAGTATGTAATTGTTATTAAAGAAAATAGAATGAATTTATAAAACGTTCTATTGTAACTGTAAAGATTTGTAAATTTTTCATACACTAATTTGTATTAATATTTTATAATTATATGAGTTTTACATATAAAATTTATTCGTAATTTGTAAAGTTGTAGATTTTGGAATTTAAAATTTGAATATTTCGATGTAATTTGAATTCAACAAATTAAAAAATTAAAGTATACTAAGTACTTTCAAATGATAATATTACATTAAAAGTGCATCTACACATATTCTTGGCACACATTTATATTAAATTATAGATAAATGCATTGTACAGTCAATATAATAAATACTCAAGCATTTATTATTATTTTTATATCCATCCATATTCTATTTTGAATACGAAAAAACTTGCTAAAAGGTAACGGAAAAGGTTAATTATTGCTTGTTTTGTTGTATTATTACACGTAGAATGACTTTGTCATATTATTTCATAGGAAATATAATTTAATTAAAATTGTCTTAAAAAATATCGTATTTATTATAAAGATTTTATGTTTATTTCATAATATAAGTATAACAATAAGTGAGACTTCTATAAATGGAAATGTACTTTTATGTATTATATTTTTATTTCTATCCTCTTCTAAATCATTCAATAACTAATCAATATTATTACAAATTAAACACTTGATTTTTTTTTCTTTGTTTTTATATTTCCTTGTTAATTGAGCTGATTGTACTTATTCCATAATAATTTGTAAATAAAAATAAGGAAAGCCGTAGTGACTGCGCATTCTAATTCGGAATTCATAAAATACAATTTCTTCTGATCTCAAACATGTGTGTGCTTATGCGAATGCCTGTGCCCCACTAACACGAGCGTGCCGAAAAAAATGCTGTGCCAGTGCCCAGAAGTAAGGTGATACTTTCTAATGCATCCTAAGACGTTGGAAGACAGGACATTGGGACCGACCTTGGGTTCCATACGATATTAGACGCGTTGCATATCCAATATCCGATATTAAACGAAACCGCGGCGGAATGTATCGCAATTGGAAGCTGACGGCGTCTTCGTCTTGGCTTACTTGGCTCAGTCGGCGAACCGGTACCGCGTCGAGGCCTGGGCCAATGATTCGTCGGCATCATGCGTGACACACATTTCACGCGAGGTATGCGCAAGGATAGTGCAGCCCTAACTACGAAATGCGAAATGTCGAAGCTACTTTAACGCAAAGCCATTGGCTGGATAAATCGCCAGATTAACGACACGAGGATTTATCGTGCTGTACCAGCGATTAAGCGCTTATTTTTTATACCATTGAGCGAATGTGAGCGAGTATTTACTGTCTGTGTGTAAGGTGGACTTTATGCAACCCTATGGGGATCACTATGACCCGTTCGCAAAGATCTTTTAGAATTTCGTGCCTCTTTAACACTTTGTTAGTTTAATATTCTCTGGAGATATGGAACACCATTTTTCAAAATATCTAGCCTACATTCTCCGAAATGCATTATGTCATATCAATGTAATATGGAATATAGATTAGGATAAACTTTATTATTTTCATTAAATGAATAAGTTGCTAAAGTCATCGGTCATATCCAATCAAGAATGAAAATATGGCACCCTGCCTATGACCACTATTAGTAATAAATGCATTTTATATAGGAATTTTAATAGATGAATACGAGACAGTAATATATAGAATGTTATTCTACAAGAACTCTTACACATAATTATAGAATTAGCAAAGAACGGCTCAGAGACGTGGAAAGAGAATAAATATTCATAATGAGGTTTATCGTTAAAAAAAAATATCAAAGACAAAGGTAACCGTAACTTTACCGGATATGCGGCGGATATGCTTATATTTTTTTGTTTATAGACATTATAATTATGAAATAAAAAATTGTGATTTCATTTATAATTTCAATGCGTTTATTTAATAAAGAAAAATAGAGCTTATTAATTATTTTTATTATTAATTTCATTAAATCATGATATTTCATTGAATGCCTATTTCCATGATATAATTTATTAGATAAGTTAATGTTTAAATTTCATTAATTGATTCTCCAAAAAGTCGATGCTACAATTGTATTATGCAAATTAATTCATTAATGAGAATTATTATACAAGTAATATGAATATATAACTACGTAAATGAAAAATTTTACATATTTTTTTATAATTCCAGAATCAATTATATCGATGTCTATAAGAATATAATATTGTAAGAATATGTATATTCGATATAACATAATAGAACGATATAATGAAAAAAGATTAATTACATAAATAATAATAAAAAAAAATGAGTAACTTCATGTTTCTCAACATTTCAGAATTATATTGTAAGAAACTTAATAATCATTTCATAAAGTCTAAAAATTCTAAAATCATTTCATAGAAATATAAGCAAAATAATATATGATTTTTATATTGTATTGTATAAAATGGTTTTTAGTACATATTAATTTATTCATATTATTCATGTAGAATTATTATTTATTTATGTAATATTTAATGATTTTTATGTTATTATATTTTTCTATTAAATTTTTATGTTATTAATAATGTGTTTAATATATTAAAATACATTGAACTGAGGTAAAATCATACAATTTATAAAAAGGAATACTTTATAGTATGAGTTTCTAATTAAAAATGGCTTGATCCACTGGGCACGTAGAGTTTCAAAATTTGTTTGAATAATTTTCTTTAATATTTTATTTAACGTTAAAATATTCCAACAATTTTAATACGTTATTATGTTTTTCAATCAATGGTACGATATAAGAAATATATATATATATATATATATATATATATATATATATATTACTTAAATCGTACCATTGATTGAAAAACATAATAACGTATTAAAATTGTTGGAATATTTTAACGTTAAATAAAATATTAAAGAAAATTATTCATATAATATAAAAACAAATAATATAAATATAAAACAATAAAGCAATTTCATAATTCAATAACACAATCATTTAGGTTAATTTAAATTATATCATTTAAAAGAAAAATAATATTAAATGTTATTATATATTTCTTTCAAAAATGTAGTAAAATCTTTAATAAAATCAGTGAATAAATTGTAAAAAATTCATATTAATACATTTGAGTTACAAATTAAAACCTTTATTACGTTGTATCAATATTCATCTACGATCCTTTGTTTTCAGATTGATTACAGTGTACATCAACAGATATATAAATTATAATATATAATTTTTTTATATATATATCTTTATCAAATATATCCATTACCAGAAAAAGCATTGAAAATCTGATTCTTATATTAAAGAAAATTAAAATATATTTGCCAGTTGTGAATTTGAGAAAAATCTTTAATACATTCAATTATTGAAACTCGATCTTTCGCAAACTAGTTTTACTAGGCTTTGGAACGACCAACT